CGGCCAGCAGGGTCCGCAGCGCGCCCTGCGTCCCATGGATATAGCAACAGGTCCCGAGTCGCTGGAGAGGTGCTTCCCTCGCGGGCAGACGGACTGCGCCAAGATGTTGGACGGCATCAAGATGGAGGAGCATGCCCTGCGCCCCGGGCCCGCCACCCTGGGGGTGCTGCTGGGTGAGTGCTGGGTCACAACGCCCGAATAGTCCTGGTCGGGGGGTAGGGCCATTGTGCCGCTGTGGACACTGGCATGAGGGCCAAAGGATAAAGAAAGTGGGTTTGCAGGACGTGGGGAGGGGGTACAGATCCCTGAAAAGACCACCGGAGGGCAACCAGCACACCTAGACAGGCTCCCCGAAGGGACAACGTGCAGGGACATCACCCAGACAGGACCTAACAGCCTCAGCCGTCAGTCACACCATCCTCTACGGGTCTGGGTTCTAGAACTGCTACTCTGGACGGGGCTGGGATGGGAAGCGGGTGGCAGGGATGATAGAGGACCAAGTTGTCACCTTAGAGTCCGGGAGAGGTGCCAGGTCACCTAGAGAAGGGGAACTTCTAGAAGAAAAGAATATCCCCCCGGTCCATCCAAACCACGGGTCTTGGGGCAGAAGGCAGGATCAGCATCGTGGGGCGTGTCAGCCAGCGAGTGCCGGGGCCTCTCACCTCGCTGGTTGGGTCCCAGCCGACCACCCCGCGCGGAGCTCCTTCTTGTTGGATCTCTGCAGCCGGGGAGAGAGCAGTGCCCAGCCAGAGCTGCAGGCCCTCGGCCTCTCCGCGCCCCAGCTTATGGACAGGGACATGCTGTCTCTGGCTGCCCCGTCTCTGGCGCGGCGGCTGGGGTTCCTCCAGCGAAGGGTGGCGCTCCCGGACTGGGCCAGGCGGCGCTGACGGCCCGGCTCTCGCCCTGTGCGCTACAGGCTCCGACTGCCCGCATCCCGCCGTCTGCGAGGGCTGCCAGCGGCCCATCTCCGACCGTTTCCTGATGCGAGTCAACGAGTCGTCCTGGCACGAGGAGTGTTTGCAGTGCGCGGCATGTCAGCAAGCCCTCACCACCAGCTGCTACTTCCGGGATCGGAAACTGTACTGCAAACAAGACTACCAACAGTAAGCGCCTCTCGCTCTCCTCTCTTTCCCCGCCACGGACCAGCACTCCAGCCCGGCCAGTCCCTGCCGGGAAGGGCCCGCGCCGCCCTGCGGCCGGCTCTGCGCTCCACTGGGCCCGGCAACTCGTAGGGCGCGAAGGGCTGCCTGTCTCCGGGCTGGGGCGGACCATCGCATCCCAGCCGACACTGGTGGGGTGGCCCCTAGGTGCCATCTGTTGTCCCGGAAACCTGCGCTGAGTGACTGAATTGGGGTACAAGACAAAGCCCTGGGCAGACCGGTGGATATGATGTTTGTCCTGGTAAAGGGCTTGGCCCCACTAAGGCCTGAAGTGGGAACCAAGAATTTATATTCCAAGAAAGGCATTGCTTTAGAGAGCCAAGCCTGACTGTGTGCTTCCCTAGTCCAAGAGCGTCTGGGATTCCTGGAGCAGGGAGGTGGGTGCTGAACCCCGGCTGCGGCTGCGGTACAGGCAGGGCGATCCCCACTCTGCCTGGTTCCTTGTTGTACTTTTATTCTCTGGTAAAGAAAAATGGGTGTCCATCTTCCTAAACCGTTCCATACGGGAATTTTGCCCTTGCAATTTTTCGTAGCTGGAGAATCAATCTACCTAGGAAGCTGCCACCTAGGGATCCTAGTTGGGGTGGCTGGCTGAAGGAGTCAGGCCTCCCAG